AAAAATATATTCCCAGGGGACCTTGCTTACTAACTCCCTGAGCAGCCTGAAGCCTGCTCTCCTCATGCCTAGGGTTGAAATTCTGCTGGCACTTTTCCTCCTGTCAACAGAGATTTTAAACTCAATCACTTCATGGTCACTGTGGCCATGACAGCCCCAATCCCCACTTCGCTCACAAGATCCTCTCTGTTGACAAGCAGCAGGTCAATGAGGGGATCTTTCTGAGTCGGCTCCCTTAGGACGTGTTCCATGAAGTTGTTATCTGGAATTTTTAGGAATTCTCTGGCCCGGTTTGTACCAGTTAATTTCTGGCAAGTAGAAGTCTCCCATAAGGACGCAAGCAGTTGATTTGAAAGCATCAAAGATGCTCAAAGAAAAGTTTGTCAGTGTCATTGTCCTGCATAGGAGGTCTGTGGCAGACTCCCACGATGACATCTGTGTTACTTGTTTGCCTCTCAATTTTATCCAGAGGCTCTCAACTGTGCCCTTGCCAGCTGGGAGCTCCATACATTCTAACCCTTCTATTCAATACAGTGCCACCCCTCTGTCTCTTCTGCCCTGCCTCTCCCACCTGTAGAGTGTGTAACCATCAAACAGGGAATTCCAGGCACAAGACTCATCACACCAGGTTTCACTTATACAATGATGTCAAGCTCTGGGACTGGGCCAAAGGCTGGAGCTGCTCTTGTTTGTTCCTGGTGCTGTATGCATAAGTGTAGGAACATTTTAGGTGTGGTACTTTGTAGCCAACACCTTGTGAAGCAGATTGAGGGATCTGTAAGCGCTCGTTTCCTCCTTGTGGCACAGCATCCCATCCCTCAGCACTGGTGAGCCTGGTTATGTCTCTTTCCCTCTTCCAAGCTGGTTTAAAGCTCTGTCAATGAGCTCGCTAGCTCCTGTGCTAGAGCACCTTTTCCACTCTAATTGATGTACCCAGTCAGGTGTCAGAGTAGCACAGCTGCTGAGTAGATCTTCCCATGGTCAAAAACCCCCAAATTTTTCCACTGAGACCAACCTCGGAGCCATGCATTGGCCTGATGGATCAGCCCATTCCTATTTCATTCCCCACTTCCCATGGCTGGGCAGGTGTTCATCAGGAGAGCAGGGGCCCATCCCATGCAAAGGTGACATAGGAAGACAAAACTCCATGACTCTGAATGTCCCTGGAATGTTCTTCTCCTCCCCCCAGCTCTGTGTGCTGAGCATGGCCCCACATGGCTGGGATATCCCTTGGGGTCAGCTGTCCTGGCTGTGTCCCCTCCCAGCCCCTCACTGGTGGGGTTGGGTGAGGCCAGAGGAGGCCTTGGCTCTGTGTGAGCTCTGCTCAGCAATGCCCAAAGCATCCCTGTGCTACCAGCACTGCTTCCAGCACAGATCCAAAGCACAGCTACTGCGGAAGAAACCTTAATTCTACCCCAGCAAAAACCAGCACAAATACCATTGTCAGAATACCTTATGAGCATGGGTTTGTGGTGAAGATACGGAAAGATTGTGTAGTGAAGTCAGCCCTTCTTTTGGGCACAGGTGAGGCATTTTATGGGTTGGGTGGTGTATGATGGAACATTACATCTGAAATAGAGATCCAAGATATTCTTTATAGTATCTGTAACAGTAGATGTGAGCCATACAGTGCTGGCAGGAACTGCCTGTTGATACTGTACCCCATGCTGCTGTGGTTTGGACAGTGTCTGTAGATGTTTAGGCTACAAAGTCTGCAGCCTGAAAATTAAGTCTGATGTGTCTGGTAATAATTGTAAATCTGTGGGGAGTTCTGCTAAAATGCAATTATTTGCCATGGAGTTTTGCTGTTGGTGTGCTATTTGTGAACTGCTGTTTGTGCATGATAAGCAAAATTATTTAAACCAATCAAAAAAATGCAAAAAACCCCTCCACTTTAAGACAGAGTTTAAGATGCTAGAATTGCAAAATCATTGAATAATCTGAGTGACAAATAAGCTCAGGGTTATGTAGAAAGTACAGCATTGAGAAACCACAAAAAGTTGTGAGCCTTTACTGTGGCAGACAGACCATTGTAATAGCAGATGGTACAAGGCCAAAAATTCCAGGAACCACAAAAAGCTGGAGCCTACACAGTGAATGTGCAGGTCTTGCAGAGCTGGCATTTTGACAGAGCAACACCAGACGATTTCAGATTCACTAATTTGTAAGTAACAGTCTAAAGCCTGTGAAAATACTGTGGCTCCTCTGTCTGCATTTATAGAAAAAAAAATTAAATCAGGCTTTTGCCTACTGGGCACTAAAAAAAGCACTTCAAAGTATGATGACCTCCAGCTTTATGTCCTTTTGTCTTTGCTAGCTGGCAGAAGAATGAGGCATAGTGTCCTAGAATAAATTACATGAGCACTATTTCTCTCCAGATCTTGGCTGTCAAAGCCCAAACTACCTTCACAAGCTCAAACAAGAGTCACAAGAAGTGAGTTTAAAATGGAACTTTGTACATGGTTGGTCAGATTATCCGACTTTATTTGTCATACAAATGACAGCTACGGACTTATCATAAATGGAAAATTCTTGATTTTCTAGATATTAGGATGAAATTAATACTATTCTATTATGGCATATGCTGAACCATTAAATGATAAATGAGACATGCCATTTCTTTGAAAGTTTCCTTAAGGCCCTTTGCAGTCAAGTTCCAGTGGTTTTGTAGATCTCTCCAGAGCCCTGTGGAGCAAATGTTTACTGCCCACTCCTGGTTTGCACCGCACCAAGCACTGATCCTGCTCTTTCCAAGGCTGATCAGATTTCTTTCTAATGGGTAGTGTATAATAGTGCACTAGCCAAATTTGTTCTAGTGGGCTGAAGAGAGGCTAAGGCCGTGACCATTCTGCTGATCAAGTATGAATGTTCACCTCTGAAGTACCCACTTGGCCTTTTGCTCAGCTAGGTTGTTCCAGAGGCAGTGAATTGCTCCCTACCTGTGCAGCTTTGGGCAGGAGCAGTGATGTCTTTTCTTGCAGCATCAGTGACTGTTGCTGCTTTAATAACTGCAATTAGAAGCTGGGTAATTTGAACAGCAGTGGCAAACCCTGTTTCTCTTTTATAGACTTTAATGAATTATTGTGAGGCCATTGTTCCTTTGGCAAGAAAAATGTTAATGGCAAATTTCTGGATGTTCCTGGAAAAGCTATTTCAAGTGATTTACAAACCTTGTGTAAGATGAGTTGGGTATTTTCTATTCGTATCACTATGCAGTACATCTCTTACCATGAGTCTGCCAGGTATTGTGTAATCCTAATTTGGATTCTAATTTTAGAAGTGGAGAAATATTAGAAGGATGATAGAAACAGTACCTCTTTCCTATAGAAAGTACAAATAATAATGTTAAAACATTCCTTGAGTGCTTGTTTCTTTTGCATCCAGCCCAAACCAGACTTTATCATTGCACAGGGCAGCTTCAATCCTCACCTCATCTGAGGATTGCCCAAGTGTTACCAGAGAACTTTTCAGTCTCATTCATTATTTAGATGAAATATACTTGTGATTTATGGGGCCTGATACTGTTTCCAATGAAACCAGAGTTTGTTCTGTCACTGTCTTCAATAGGAGAGGAGTCAGACTTTTCCAGAAAGTTTTAACTACAGTAATGAAAGCAATCTTTGAGTCATCCACACAGAACCACAACCTCTTGTACCCCAGTGTTCCATCTATTTGCTTTTCAAAATTATTCAATAGATTAAAATATACCAGCAGTTTGCTTTGTTGCTGTAGACAAGGTACAGCTGAAAAATGTTATGTGGATAATCCCCAGAACATGAAGTAATTGATATTATGGGTGGCAATTGTAAAAACTGATTTGTAAAATTCCTCTCCTTGTAAAAAGCTTCTACTCAATTTTAAGAGCATCAGGTTCTTTAAGGCAGATTCCCTGTGTAAAAAAACATGGAGAACACCATGTCCTTATTTTAAATAATTATATTTTTTCTTTACTGTTATTAGCCATTGTACAATATTATATTATAAATATCAGCCTTTCAAAAATGGCTGTGATACCAAAGAGTTAGCAAAAAGTGTTCAAGGCATTTTGCTGTTCCTGTACAGTTAATATTTTATTAGCTTCTCATACATTCTTTCTTTTCTAAGGGAAATTACTTTTGTTTTAATGTTGGGATACCTAACCAACATTTACAAGCTGCTAACATTCATATTTTAAAGTGGATAGTTTCACCTTATGGTTCAAATAGAACATGCATGAGCTCTCCCTGGAGAGGTTCATGTGGCTGAGTGGGATCTCCTGGCAGTGGCCACCATGTCTGGGTGCAGAGTTTGGCTCACACCAGCCTTGCTCCCGTGGTCAGCACTCTCAAACCTCAATGATTCATAGAGCACACAGCAAATACCAACACAAAGAGACTGGCAGTTACCCAAAAAGCAAAAGTTGTATGTAACCTCTTAGATTAGATTGGTTTTAAAAATCATTTAGAAATTGAGATAAAACTAATGAGGAATCCTATTTATACGATTCAATGTCTTGGAGACTATGTCTGGTAATTGACAGAAACACAAGACCAGAAAACAATGATTAAAACTAATAACCCAGAAACTGGGTTTGATTACTGGGTATAGGCTCTTCCATTCATGACTTTCTTTGGGCAAGTGAAGCAGGAGGAATGTTGATTTGACACTGACGCCAAACAACCAGCTTGATTGCAAAGTGTGAGATTTGCAGTCAGGGCTACTGCTCCCAGCATCACCAGAGACTATGGGATCCATTTTGACACTCTAGGATTTCACTGTCCCTATTGCAAGGCATGATCAGACCAAAGAGATGAGAAGGGATCTGATAATACCAGTTCTAGTGTCTTCACCTAATTTGGGACACTTTGTGATATGTGAGATTTGCCTTCCTACTGACCTCTCTCCTTTCCTGTCTTCTTTTACTTCATCACTTTATTTTTAGTCTTTCGTGTCTTTCCTTCTCTTGTTTTTGGTAGCACCCTGGTGTAGCAGACAAGGCTAATTTTGCTCTGTTGTTTCAGGTCTCCAACTGAGCCAGAGGTGTGAACATCTCCCTGGAGCTGACACACCAATGGACTGTTTCCCTGGGATTCAGTTTTCTCCTTCTTTAGAACATACATCCCCAAAACTTATAATAAGGATATTCATAGCCATAATAAATACCAACTGAATACATTGTCAGAGTGGCTGGTACAAAGAATGGCAGTATCTGCTTAACTAAATCTTAAGGAAAAGGAAATACTGCTATATTGCTACAGTGAAAGCCATATTATATACTTTATATTTTGATTATTTGGACTTCTTGTTGTGTTACTTGTAGAAAAGTTTAATTTTTTTCTCCTGCTAGCTATTTCTGTGGTTGATATTAAGTAGATATGACATCTGCAGTGTCTGCCTTTGTTAACCGTTTACTGTTGCAACAGGAACATGAATGTTTTTGAGTTGGGGTTGAGATTAAAACAACATGTTGTGAATTGTATTTTTAAAAGTGGATTAAGAGCCAGTCCAGGGAGGCATATTTTGTAACTACAGTCTCTATTTCCAACTACACATTTGTCAAACAGAGATTTACAGTTCACTCCTTATTCTTATCACTTAAATGGCTTCATACATCTAGAAAAGAGAGCAGAATTTAACACAAGCTCCTTGCAAAGAAATTCCCAAACCCTGAAAGAACAGGGAACATTTACTGAGAGTCTATTTGCAAGTGGTTTTAACATAAAAGAACAAAACAAAGTGTGGCTATTATTTGTGGAAACCTGACTAATGTGAGTTGTATCGTAGTGAGGAAGATAAGCTCAAAAAATCTTGACTTCTGTCTGAACTAAGAACACTATATATACAATATAGGTATCTCCAGTATCTTTTTTCTGTGTAGAGGTAGTGTCTTTCCAGTGTTGTTTGGGCTGTGCTGTAGAGGTCCTGAGGCCCACAGCAAATGGGCTCCAGAGGGCCGGGCAGGTGGCAGGAGGCTGAGGCTGCTCAGCATGTGGCAGTGTAGATCAGGACCCTTAGGGTTTTAGAGAGCCCAAACCCAGAATGAATGGCTGGTGTTTTGAGCACTAGAGATTTTTGAACCTGTTCTAGACAAGCAAAACTGTAAAAAATCTATCAGATTTTTAATAGGACAAAACCTTCAAAGCTCAGTTGTCAAAATTATACTTCACAAGAAACACCCCCAATTAGAATGTCTTAAATTGTTGGTAGATGAAAATAAGGAGAGAGCATTCATGGATAGTCTGCATTTAAAAAATAATTTCTTGAGAGCCTTTGCTTTCCAGGCACATTCAGATGAGAGTTTCAGTGTTTACCAGCAGTGGCATGACAGCCAGCTCGTCTCTGAACCTGGGATCACTTCAGCTAGGTAGACCTCAGATAAACAATCTGCAGAGCAGCAACATGATTGTTCAGTGAGGTGGCTAGAAGAGTTGGCTGGAGATAAGAGTGAAGCCAGGGAATCTCAGAAAAACGGAAAGCTGGACAAGACAAACGCAGGTCTGAACCAATGTGGTTAATCAAGCGTTCTCCCTTTATTCAAGATAAGGTGGTAGTTTATATAAGCTTCCACATAGTTTACAAAAACAAAGACACTCTGATTGGTAGGCTAACATTGTTTACCTTTTCCTTAAAACGGCCTACACCTCACACTATAAACCTATACTAATTCACACCCAAGCACCCCAGTGGTCCCCATCACACCTTAAGACTATTTTTATCTGCGCCACAAGCTCTGAATTTCTAACTGCGTCAGAGGCTTGAAGGCTTCACCAGGCCTCAATCTGAGGCCTAGGCTGGAGTAGCTCAAATTTCATAATTCATGTCCTCTTTCTCTCAAAAATGCTGCAACATAAGAGCTCTGTTAGGTAGATTGCATAGAAATGCATGGTTTAAGTAGCAGGAGACCATGGTGTGATACCAGTTTGCTAAAATATGACAGAAGCAAACTCCATGGAAAGGAGAGCCTAAGTGTATTGCAATGGTGCAACAGGGTGAGCTGAGGGAAAGGGACAGAGCTGGGTGAGCCAGGTTATATCCACACCTCCAGGGACCCTCTCACCATGACACATGGGACAGCAGAAAAGTGTGGCGGTGTTCGTGCCAGCAAGCGTAAGTCAGGAATGGCCGCGGTGCTGTGGGGTCCGGGCTGCGCCCAGAGTGCGGCTGAGGGCTCTGGGCACCGCGGCCTGCCCGGCTCCGGCTGCGCCGGCACGGTGCAACAGCCCGGGGCGCGACCCTTAGGGCTTCCAAAAGTTCCTCCTTCGAATTAAAATAGGGTCATTTCGATGTGAAAACATAGCTAGGGTGTCATCCCCAACTGTGACTGCCATTAGATGGCAGGAGTTCTTGTTTTCCCAGCTCTTCAGTGTTCACCTTTCTGTGCACACTTGGATCAGTTACCGGCCCCTCCCGGGGGTTCTGGCGCTGTGTCCCTCACGCCGCCTCATCTGTCTGGAACGCCTTCCCCCGGGCCATGAGTCACCTCCCCGCTTTAAATGTCGCATGGTAACACTAAACTGACTCGCATTATAACGTAAACTGTAAAAATGTGTATGACGATGCACTGCAAAATTTTATCTATAGATACTGATGAAGCTTCAGAATACCAGGGCGTTTTAGGGATACAACGCTACTGACAGATTTAATGGATTTTATTGGGGGAAAAAAAAAAAAAAAGGTCTTTCATGTCAAAACACAAGCAAACTTTCAAAAGTGACAGAGAGGAGAATTAAAGGAAATTACTAGTACCAGCTTATGAAACACCATCAGTACCAGAATCATTCTGTTTAGCTGAAGAACAAATGGTATTCAGGTAATGTAATCTCTCTTACATGATCATGACTCAGAAAATTCCCTCAGAGCAACAATAGTGTGAGGTATTGGCCATTCTGACTAGCCAAGCAGATGGTTAGCTGTGCCAAAGGTGACTTTTCACAAGTGTATGAGAGAGAGAATGAGGATAAGAAAAAGAAAGGAAGCTATGCCTTTTCTTTAAGGACCTTAAATAAGATCTCTAATTTAATTCAAATAAGCCACCTTGTAATCAGAAATATCAATGAATACTTTCCCAGGCCAGTGGTTCTGCTTACTCAGTTGACAGTCTCCAGAACCATCCAATTTCATACCAGTCAAACATTATTTACTCAACAGAAGGAGTCAAAAGATCTATCACAGGATTTAAAATACATTGTGGTCTGATAAACCATGTATATTACAAGCCAAGTTTAGATCAACTGGTACATCAGTGATATATATTAATACCTTGTGCTATGCCACCGGTTATAGAAAGGAATCCTATTTCTGTCCAGGGTGCCTTTGGAAATCCTTTTCTAAATGTCTCACTTTTTTCTTTTGCTTTAGAAAAGGAAGAATATTGGAAAATTGTGATACTTAGAAAATGCAAGTATGGTAAATGTTTTTCATTTATTCTCATTAGCAAATGCCTTTTAAAGCACAATGAAACCTTTCTGCCATGCTTAATTGGTGATGTGGGGCTGTGGAAAGTCAATATTTGAACTAAATTTTAGATGTAATGCTCTTAATGTTAAATCAGGACAACATGGTAAATCAAGAAAACGTCTATTTTATGAAGATATGTTTACTAGTTTGAAAAGCCAAAGGATATGAAGACCAAGACTATATTTTCATTAAATAGTTAAAAAGATAAGCTTTACATTTTATTACATTTTTGTTGAAAAGCTAAGTACTTGCCTGTGTAGATCTACTTGTATAATCACATTTGAGGTGTTTACCTTCATATTGGTACAATCAAACATCAGAGTTTGATGTTAAAATTACTAGCGGCAGTCTCCTAAATCTTTACACACCATTTTTTGAAAATGACAATACACATTTTGAAGGCACATAGTTCAGAAAGTATCAATCACAATGTATATAACCTGTGAGTATGAAAACTATGCCTCCTGTGTGGAGTGAATTTGTTGTGCATTTTGCTGCTGAAAAGGATTTAAAGTGTTGGAGGGAATAGGGAAGTGTAACTGGGGGCTGGAATGGAAGGGGAGCAGAACTGCTGCTCTCATGCAGTTCTGGAATGAAATGCAAGGAGTATAAACTTGGGTTTTGTACTGATGGACTCAGTTGTGGGGTTCTGAGCTATGATATCAAACCATCCAGACTCAGCTAGTTTAAATTGGCCATTGACTTCCACAGAGAAATAAATGACCTGTCTCAGGGTTTGACTTAGAGGAAAGGGAAGCAGGGGAAATGATGGCTTTGAGTGGCTGGAGAAGGTGAAGAGAAAGGACTCAGCAGGAAGAACTTCCAAAGCTTTCCCAGCAATCAAAATTTTCCCAGTAATCAAGATGATAAAGTTGAAAATCTAAGAGCCAATGGACAAAGTGGCTCCCAAGAAGGAGCACTCTGAGAACACTCTCTTGCAGGTGTAGTGACTTTCTGTGTGCTCCCACAGGCTCCTTTCAGCTGTGTCACTGGAAGTACAATGGAGGGATAACAGGGCTCTGAACAGGATTGTTTCCTGGGCTTGGAAAACTCGGGAAAGAAGATCTTTACATACTAAATGCTTTCTAATCCTGGAATACTTGCTGTCTATTTCTGAGGCACCAGAGAAAACCTTTGGACCTTTTGCAGAGATGTGAAGATCTCTCTGGTCTAGATTCTAAGATGCAGGATTTGAGGAAGCCAAAGGTTTACATCAGAAAATATTTGATAAGGAATATATTACTAGTTCATTTTTATGTTGATCAATATATGTCCAAAAGAGTTATAGCACAGTCAAGTACACTGTTTGAATATTTAATTTCTCAAAAATTAGTTTTTAAAAATTTTGAGTTTCTTGAAATATAGCTGTAAATGTAAATTTATTTGATAATCCTCTAGCTTTTAAATTTCACTTCAAAATATGTATATTTAAATTATATTTCAAAATCCATTTTATTCCACTTGTCAAATGCTATTTCTTGTAACTTGCTGGGGGTTTTCTAAAAAAATCAGAAATCATTATAATAACAGTATAATAATAAAAGTTTTGTTGTTACTTGGGCAAATAGTTCTGTATCCAGTCAAAATTAGCTGTAAAACTACTGGTGTGGGAAGTTTCAAAAATGAAGATTTTAAAATGGTATGTGTTATTATTAACTATCCTAAACTAAAACTTTGCCAAAAGATAACAGTGTTCAGAAATTTGACTTGAAAATGTCCAGACACTTTAATCCCAAATACTGGATTCTTGAGGGGTCATTGCTGATACAACACACTGGAAATCACAATTGTTTGTAATGGCTATAAATGGAACATTTCTAGGTTCTTGCCCATTATAATTCTGCAGGACTATTATAGTTATGAACAGACTATTTTAATGCTTGTGGTTATTATAAACACAGAAGACAACACAAACAGGTTTTTTATGGTGATGAACTATTTAGAAACTCAAACTTGAAGAGGTCAGGGAAAATGATAAGGACCACATCCTTTGCCTCTAAGAAAAGGGATTTTTAAACTAATGCTGCTTGCTACAAAGAAACCACTTGTTCATCAGACAAATAAGCATTCCTTTCCTTCATTTTATTAAAAAAAAAAAAAAAAAAGAAAAGTTATAATCAGAGGAATTTAATTTGTAATATTGATACTGTCTGTTAAAAAGACAGTTTGCCTGGCTGAGTTTGCTACAAGCTAGAAGCACCTAATAGTATTTGTATTGAATTGTTTGTATTTGCAGAGGTTATATCACATTTGGACACAATATTCTTTGACAAGTCTACTGGCTAAAATATTATGTGTGATTGTTTTCTGAGGAGATTGGTGTTTCAAGCTGGCTTTCCTG